CCAGACTCAAATTTCAGCAAACTTATAGTCAAACTAACCGGCTCGATCAGACGGACACAATGATATTTTAAACCATTTTTGAAAGTTTTTCAGACATATTTGAAAGGTCAAACAGATGTTGAATCTGATAAGTTTATAGTCGAATCGAGCGTCTCGAAAAGACGAAGCCAACGAGCCTAAAATTGCTCAATTCCAACACTGTTAAGACACTCAAATATTCATTAAACGTCGTCTGATTGAGGGAAGCCTTCTGAGCCATATGATCAAAGTAATTCATATTCTTGCAATAATTATACACAAAACTCTATAAATAGAGTCTTACATCTTTCATAAGGGCAAAAACTTGAGGCTTGAGGAAGAGATTGAAGCTTTGAGAATGAGCTAAAGTCCAACATCACTCATGCTACTGTCAACCACCATCATCGGTCACCGTCAATCAACATAGGCCACTTTTATTAATTTTATTAATCTGTCTTTCTAACATGTATTATATAATTCTAAACTACGCATGTCTATTTTAAATCACTTTTGTTTACATAAATGTCACTTTAACTTCTGCTCTAATATAATTATTCCCCAAATTATTATTCTTAATTTTATTACTCTTTTATCTTAAATATTTTTATTTCTGCTACGCTCAACTTAAATAATATTTTTTTTCTATAAGATCATCGTCCTAATTACAATTTTATATTATTTAGCTTTAAAGTTTATGCCTCTATAATATTTCCTTATTTCATAAAACTCTTGAGACAATTTTTAATATTATTCGTCAATATTTAACTCTACAAGTTAACTCTTCATCTACATTTTTATTATTCTTATAATAGATCCAAAAATATTTCAACGTATTGCACTTATGTATCACATTAACTTTTGATAATATACAAAAATATCCATAACAACATCTCAACTAAAATTATGTATTATAAACTTAGATTTTCTCTTACAAATTCTATGCCTTCTATTTTCAAAATGTTTATATGTTATTCTAATTTTTCTCTTATTTTAGTAGATTAATCCCCAATTAGAATCATATCATATAAAAAACACATATCAAGGCAACCTGCTTTGATGATCCTTTATAAGTTTAATTATAATTATTGCAAAAAGATAAGACTCAATATCTATCTTTGATGTAAACTTATGATATTTTAAACTCTTGAATCGCTCCATGGTTACCTCTAATATTAGTCACTACTTCATCATATAGATCTTTAATAACGCTGAAGTTATCTGTGATATATGTCTCTGCCTGAATGCATATCAAATCAATTTCCATGATACTTGATTATATGTCATATTAGGAACAATAAAATAAATATAAAGATGATTTCTTTATTCTATGTTCTTCTCAACTAACTTCCATGCAACTACTGTTTTGTTGTCTGCAATTTTTAATTTATGGCAACTAAGGAATTCCTCAATCAGTTTCTCAACCTAATTTCATGAAGAAAGATTTGATTTCATATAAACTGAATGAGCAATGGCTCTCAAGTATTATCAACTTGTCAGAAGCTTGGAAGCTTTAGATGGTCCATTTCTGTGTTGTAACATATCAATGGGCGGGCAAGTTTTGGAAGTATGAATGATTCTTTCTTCTACACAGATGCGCAGAGGTTTTCAGCTCATAAGCTAAGAGCCAGCTCTTCAGAAGAGACATCCGGATCCATTCAAACTGAAGAGCTACTAGCCGATTTGAAACAGAAGGTGGCAGCTCCCCTTATTTTTAAAAATTTTCTTGTAATACGTGTCAAAATAGTCCTCTAACTCTTTTGTAGGAGGTCGTTTTAATCCTAGAGTCTAAAAAGTGTCAATTTAGTCCGCAGACTGTTTTAATATCCGAGCACTATTTCAGCCTTAATTTAAAAAGTTAGGGGACTAATTTCACATTTTCGGTGACTCTAAGACTAAAATTGCTCCATGCAGACAATCGGGGCACTATTTTGGTCCTTTAGAATGTTTCTAACATTTATTTACTCTGTAGTGGGATTCTATTGAGAACAAGCCCACTGTTTTTGTCTATGGTGGAGGTGCCATTGTTGCTCTCTGGTTGTCTTCTATTATTATCAGTGCTATCAACTCTGTTCCTCTGGTGTGCTCTTGTTAACATTATCTTCTTTAAATTGTTTTTGAGATTTATGATCTTATTAATAAAAGAAGATCATTCTCATGGCAGCTGCCGAAACTTATGGAGCTGATCGGGCTTGGTTACACCGGATGGTTCGTGTACCGTTATCTGTTGTTCAAGGTAACTAATGTTTGCTCTAAAGCATATGAGTTAAGCATCATTTTTTGGCTAGGTATTGGAATTGTAATTTAGATGAATATTAACTCTTACTAATCTTTTGTATGAGATTTTAGAGAAAATTTGAATCCTATGTTTCAGTTCCAACATGATACATCCAGTTTTTTAGTTGAAAATTGCTTTTGCTATCCACTTTGTATAGTATTTTAGAAAAGGAAGACTTAACATACATACCTCTTAATTCCAATATATTTTCATTTCTTACACCTAACCTTTAATTTTCTTATTTATGCCACCATACACATGCATGAAAAAGTGTATTGCAATTTTTAATAGTTCCAATTGTGATATTTTTCATAAAACATGAATTTTTGCACTTGATTGTTGCAGTCGAGCCGAAAAGAGTTAGCAGAAGACATTGAATCTCTGAAGAAGAAGATTGCAGGGACAGAATAGATAGAAAAGCCTGAAAAAATTGTCAAACTTTCTTGTACAACGAATTCTAAGTTTGTGTAGTGTTTAAATTGCTTGTGATTCTTGTGCTTACTTGTTTCTTCTTTTTTTCCTTTGTGCGCCATTGAATTCTTCAAATTTGCAGATTTTGTGGTTAAAATAATTTTTTGTTAAAGCTGCTGCTAATCATTCAATTTTGGATTTTGTTCATCTGATAACTTGGCCGGGAACTTTGATGCATTGGAAATCAGCTATTGGTTCCTTTTTTTTTTCTCTCTATGCACTTCCTTTTGACTACTTGCTACCAACTTTGATTAGGGTTCATGTTAATCTAAAAAAGATTTGAACATTTTGATGAGAAAACTCAGAATTAGTTTTTTTCATGGTCCGATTTCATGTAAAATAAGAAAGATGTATATAGAATAAATTAAAAAAATAAATGAAAGACATTTTTTAAATATTAAAAAAAAATTATTATTAAATTTAATCATAATGGAGTGCTATAAATAAATTGAGAACTTCAACTAGGAATTGGAAACATATAAAATCAATAAATTAATAGAATTGTTTTTATAAATTAATTTTTTATTTGTCACTTTTTAGAAACGTAAGATGCCGAATTATAAACCTATCCACGAATATTATTAAGATAATTGATTTCAAATTTATTAAATTTAATTTCAGGTTAGTGTAATATATATTTTTTTATTATAT